GTTGTGTTGATAGGCTACACAATGGAGTTGAACATTCCGGAATGGTTAGGCCTAAAATAGAAATTTTGAATGTTAATCAACAAATTCTTTTGAAAATCTTAAAAGAATGTCTTTTGCCTACCGGAAGCAACGACTCCATTGTTGGTATGCTTGAGTGTGCCATTGTCTATCTCTTGGAAGTGGATTCCCTCGTTAGGTTCCCCATGATGATGATGAAGAACCATATGTGGATTCTCAAGGGTTATGGACAACTTCCTTATGGAATGGCGTTGACCAAAGTGTTCCGAAGGGCCAAAATCAAGCTTGAAAAATGCCAAGGAAGGACTACGATTACAAGAAGATGGATGCCACAAGTCTTCGACGATCAAAGATCTTTCAACACTTTGATGGATTTCACACCGAAGCTTCCTACAACCAAATATCGGTAGAAGAGAGAAACCGATGGAGACGTGAGCACAACTTGAGTAAATTTGCCAGCTCTTCCTCTTCAAACCCCCGTCCGAGCATTGAGGTTCCACCACATGCTTCTTCCATGCCTCACTCCCGTTCTACACACGCGAAAATCGATCCTTCATTAAAGAGGTATATGGATGAGAAAATAGCCCAAATGGAGGAAAGCATCACAAAGAAGGTAACCAAGTCCGTGACAAAGAAAATCTTTGACAAAATGAGAAAATGGATTGGTAGGTCTAAATCCCCGTCCTCCTCATCTTCTTCTTTGGAGGAAAAGAGAAGAGCTAAGAAAAAATCCAAAGGACCAATCATTGAGGAAGTTGTTGAGGAAGACCCCGAAACAATCAACGAGGAGAATTTACAAAAAGGAATTCGGGAAAGCCTTGCCGAACATTGTCACAGCATTAGCTCATTTCCTCCTATGAATCCGTCATCCATGTTTGAATATGGAAATCCCTCCTCCTCACATGTGAACATTGATGGTTATGATGATGATGAAGACATTGACAACATGGCAAATGTTGACGATTATTACTATTATTGATTTTAATTTACTCTTATTTTGCACAATATGTTGTTGTTTGGATTTTAAAACTTTGGTACTTTTTGATGACATTGTGCTTAATGTGAAATTGTCTTCATTGACTCTCTTGACTATATTTAGACTTGATATCAAGGTCATTAACAGGTTCTGCTAGAGTGCATGAAAATGGGTAAATATCCAAGAATCATGAACTCATAAATCAAAGAAAATTCTTAGCCTTGGTATGCTAAGAGAAAAGCTAAAATATGGCACAAGTCTTGAAAAAGACATGTTATTGATAACATACCTTATATTTTATTTTTACCTCTACTTTGATGGAATTCTTTTACCAAGGGGGAGTAAAAACGTTATTGTCAAAATTGGTTGATCATGTTTGCACTTCTCCCCGCTAATCTTATGAGATTCATCATTCTATTTTTTACTTGAATCTATTTGATAGGGGGAGGGCTTTTGATGGAAATTTACATTTTTTATCAAACACTTCCATCCATCCTTTTTGCTCTTGACAAATAGGGGAGAAATATGTGTACTTCAAAGTGCAATTTTTTATGTGTTTTATACATATTAATTGATCATCAATTCTTCATAAACACATGGAAAATACAAAGTGAGAACTTTTCAAAAATGCTATGTTTTAGGGGGAGCTTGCATAAATCCTTCACTCCTACCTAAACCTCACTTTGAAGTAAATTATTTGTCAACATCAAAAAAGGGGGAGATTGTTAGCCTTGGTATGCTTAATCTCATGTTTTGATGTTAACAAATAATTTTATTAAGCTAACGTTGGTTTAATTGTGTAGGAACGACAAAATCCACTAAAACACGTTGATTGCGTCAATACATTTGCTCACACACGACTAGCTTAGATTCATTTATTGTTAAAGATATTTGAAATACATTTGGTAAATACACACAAAAAAAGATTTTTACTTGGGTATTTATTTTTAAAATACATTTGGTAAATATTTTCGAAAAACATATTTTTCAAAATATTTAACTAAAGTTATAGCTCTTCTCAATACGAGATCGCCGGTTCTTGAATTACTCAATTCCAATTAGTATTGAAAAAGTTATTAACATTTAACCAAATTTATTTTAAAATTGCGCACACGGTAACGAACGGTCGATGTGGTGAACCGTTTCTCCAGAACGGTCGACCGTCCTACTGACCGTTGGCGGAATCTGAACGTTACCCCGAACTGTTGACCGTTTGGGCAGAAACGGTCGATGTGATGGACCGTTCAGAGACCAGATTCCTTATTTCTTGTCTTTTTCACCCCCAACGGTTGGATTATCTTAATTATGGTATTAAGAATTAATTATTCTTCTCTAACAGCTATTTTTCAATTTCAAACAACTTCTAATCCATCCCTATAAATACCCAAACCATTTCAATGTTTTTAATCAATCAAGCTTTGCTAAAATCTCTCAATTCTTTCTTCTTGTGTTCATAAAAATCTCTAATTTTTTATTAAGCTATTAAAATCCATTTTTCTATAAGAGAGTTGTAATTCTAGAGTGTATAAGATATTATCATACCGACCCGACTTTGTAATTTATATTCTTAAGGGGGTGTTGATTCATTCAAATTCTCATATTCTTTGTAATCGGTCGAAGATATCCGTTTCAAAATCTTCATTGAATGGTTGGAGATACCCGTGGTGAAATCTCCGGAAGCGATCAAGGACATCCGTGAAATCCTTGTTGAGACGGTTGGAGATTGCCGTTGCAAAATCTTTAGGTTGAAGATATCCTGCAAATCTTCGGTGCACGGCTGGGGATAGCCGTTGGAAAATCCTCAAAACTAGTTGGATACTTCAAGGCGTGAAGTATTGTCGATCTAGTGTAAACCTATTGGCAAAGGTTTGTTTGCCAAAAATTGGTTCCGTTGTGATGACCGTGTTGAGGCGGTCAAGGCGTTCTAGTGGATTGAAAATCCTTAAGGAGGAGCCTTAAGGTACTGAAGTAGGGAGTTCCCGAACCAGTATAAAATCGGTGTGCATTTTCTTTACGCTTTTATTTTTGCGTTTTATATATTGCTTCCGCATTTTCCAACACCGTTTTTGTTAAACTTCGAAAAGTTTTCAAACGCCTTATTCCCCCCCCCCCATCTAAGGCGTGGGCACAACGAATAAATCGACTAACAATTGGTATCAGAGCGGTTTCGTAGCTAAAAGTGCTTAACCGCATCTACGACAAAGATCCACTTGTTGTGTCCCTTTTTTGAATTTGAATTTTAAAATCTCAAATATTTATTTTCCCTAAGTTTTTAAAATTCAAATTTATGGCCCAAATGGATTCTCAAAGCATCCACCGCCCTCCTTTTTTCAACGGCCAAAATTATTCTTATTGGAAAATGCGGATGGAATATTTTATACAATCCATTGATTTTGATTTATGATTAAATGTACTTCACGGGCCATTTGTGCCGAGTAGTGGTAATTTTGCAGGATTGTCTTTGGAGGACAAGAGGAAGTTATCCATGAATGCCAAGGCGACCAACATCCTCCATTGCTCTCTCGGCCCCGATGAATTTGCAAGAGTGAGTACGTGCAAAACAACCAAGGAAGTATGGGACCTATTAGAAGCCACTCACGAAGGGGACATCTCAACAAATCAAACGATGATTGCCCTAGGAAATTCGGAATATGAATCGTTCAAGAAAGGGCAATGTGAGACGATTCAAGATATGAACAAGAGATTCAACGAAATCATCAATAAGTTAAGTAAGTTGGGTAAGACATATACTACATGCGAATTGAATACAAAGATATTGTTTTCTTTACCTAAAGAATGACATAGTAGTATTGTAGATTTATTACCCAAATGTGATAAAGCCGAAACCGCCCACATTTGGTCTTCCTTGTATTCTCACGAACTTTTGTTGAGAAAGATTAAAGAGGAAGAAACGCGAGAAAATCCCAAACTTACCAACGCCTTCAAAGCTTCAAAAGACTCATCAAGTGAAGATTCAAGTGAGTCAAGTGATGATTCAAGTGACTCAAGCTCTACGGAAGAGTCTAATGATGAAGAAGATGAAGAGAAGGCAATGAGAATGAAGTATACGGATTTCCTCAGATGGACGAAGTATGTGAAGGGGAAAGAAACGTATAAAAACGACTAACAAGTCGTATCGTACCGAACCGAATGGTCGGTCTCGTATTTGGGATCGGTACGAGGTAACTTCTCATACCAAAAGATCTCGAACCGAACATATATACAAATATGTTATAAAATAATAATGTTTTTATATTTCTTCATAACATAATGAATTGAATTGAAAAGTTTGTTCAAATGTAGATAAATTACAAATAATCTTTTATTTAGACAATCATTTATTTTAATTTTTAAATTTGTAGATGAATATAAAAATAAAAATCATCCTAAATACGACTAAAACATAGAAAAAGTACCAAAATAAGAATTTCATGTCATTATTCTCGAAATAGGATTTCACACTGTGGTAATGTGATTGTAATGTGGCACTGTACATGTACACATTACTATACTTTTTTGTAATGTACATAATTATGTTTAGTAATGTAAATATATTTTAACTCATATTTCAAAAATAAAAACACGGATGTCCTATTTTGATATTTTCAATTTTTACTCATATTTTAGTCTTTTTCCCTATAAAAAGTTAAAAAACATTTGAAATACTATTTTGTTATCATTACCCTCTTTTGTTTGTGAAATACGGAGTATAAATTACCAAACATTTTTTAATTTTGTATTTTTCTTTATTTGAATATACTTTCGATTTTTTAATTAAGAGTTTTGTACATTTTGAAGTGTAAACTAGGTATATATATATACTCATCTCAATATTTACCAAAATCAAACCATCCTCAATTGATACTTCGAGATCAGAATCGATCAATGTAAAATCTTATATCGAACCAAAATATTTGATACAGTATTGATATGAACCAAATCGTACAACGTTCACACATATTAAGAAATAAGAATCTTATTCAGCTAATGAGAATCATACAAAACCAAAAAAGAGGAGAGTTTATAATTACTCCGTACATCCTACGCTTTTAATTAAAATACATTACAATAATTAAATAGAAATCATCCTAAATAGGACTAAAATTACAAGTTACTATACTTTTTTTGTAATGTATATGACCATGTATGGTAATGTAAGTCCTATTTCGGGAATAAAAACATGGAAAACCGATATATTTTCAATGTTTTAGTCTTAGTTTGGACTTTCCTTCCCCAACAAACCATATAATCTTCTTTCCTTCCCCAACAAACCCAAGATATTCCTAGAATTGGAACTGCATCTCTGGTTTATAGCCAAGAGCATCAAGGTGAGCCGCCATGGCATTGTTCATGGCCGGCGGTCCACACCTCAATATCTTGACATCATCCGCAGGCGATGGGCAGTAAGTTTCTATCATTTCCCTCGACACGCGACCGGCGCCGCCGCTCCAATCCGCCGGAGGCCGGCTCAGCACATAGTAAACCCTAAAATGCCCCGGAAACTCCGAAGCAAATCCGTCCAATTCCTCCTTCAAAAGAATGTCTCCGTATGTCGTATTGGCATAGATAAGGCTCACCTCCGTCTGGTCTTTCGGGTTCTCAAGAATCCCTCGAACAACCTGAAACATCGGAGTTATGCCCGACCCTCCGGCAATCATCCCGAGAGCACGAACCTGGTTTGCCCGGTACCGGAAACGACCCGTCGGCCCTTTCACGGCCAGACAATCGCCCTCGCGCATTTCCCGGAAATGGTGAGACATTCTTCCTTTGGGATACATCTTGACAACCAATTCGAAGTGCCCAACGTCGGAATCCAATGTGATGGGAGTGTAAGGTCTTAGAACCTCTTCCCCTTTATCGTCCCTACCCCTGCAACGGACGTGGTGTCCTATTGGGAGACCCAGAACCGAATTAGGGGTGGGAAGCTCGAATCTGAACTTGGCCACATTGTGGTTCAGCTCCGTGCGCTTCACAAGCTTGAACTCCTTGAATTTCTCGGGGTCCAGGCACGATCTTTCTCCGGGCTTCTTGGAAAAGAAGACGTAGATTGAGGCGGCGATGGAAAGCAGAGCAACCGCAATCCCTATGAAAAATTGAGATTCGGGTTTTTCGAAAAACTCCATCTTTTTGCAGAATGGGAGGAGATAGAAAGAAATGGTGTAGAGATTTTAGGGAAATGATGCCAATTTCAATTGGTTATTTATGCATCACTTGCATGTAGTGCTTTGGTAAAATGTTCTTCCAGGGCCAATTTATTCAGTGGAGTGGAAACTTGGGCACAGAAATTTGCATAAATTCCTTGCTTCTCCCTTTAAAATATTCTTTTTTTAGTGAAGCCTTTAAATTATTCTTGGTTCTCACCCTACACTATATTTGGCTCAAGTGATTTTAAAGGTAGAAGAAAAAAAATAATAAGAAAAATAGATTTGCTTGTTTTGTTAGATAGGAAAAAAATGGAAAAGTAGAAAAGGAATGAGTGGAAAAAATTAAGACTAAACTCCACCGTTGGTTCTTCAACTTTATCAATTGTGTACGATTGGTGCTTCAAGTTTTAAAAGTCCATAAATAGTTCTTCAACTTTATGAGTTATGCACGATTGGTCCTTCAAGTTTTAAAAGTGCATAAATAGTCCTTCAAGTACACGTCAGCCCTCCAGATGAGATCTTTTTGACAGTAAATGTTAAAAGCTAAATGGAATACTAGCTCCATATAATACGGAGTAATCGTACCTAGTGGAATTTACTCGTATTATATGAAACTAGTATTTCGTTTAACTTTTAATATTTACTGTCAAAAGGACTTCATATGGAGGGCTGACGTGTACCTGAAGGATTACTTATGGACTTTTGAAACTTGAAGGACCAATGGTGCAGAACTCATAAAGTTAAATGACTATTTTTGGATTTTTGAAACTTGAAGGACCAATCATGCACAACTGATAAAATTGAATGACCAATGGTGGATTTTAGCCAAAAATTAAACAAAAATAAGAGAAAATAGAATTTCTTTCATATTGGCAAGAAAATTGAGAGAAACATTTTTCTATTCCTTTTTAGAGAGGAACATGTATAAAATAATTTTTATATATATTGATGATATTTTTGTTGGTACAATATATTGATGATATGTGTAGATAACTTTTGAGATAATATGTTTCACTTATTTGTTCATTTTAATTTTCATCTTTTTTTATATAGAACATCCAACACACAAACATCTTTTCCGAATATATGCGCGGTGTGAAGTACAAGATAAAAAGTACTCCGTAATTAAAAATGTAAGTTTGAAATAAAGTTTCATAATCTAAGAATACAATGATTTTACATGGTTTAAATAGTTATCATATGTGATTCAACTATTCTTTTCATTGGATGAGTGAATGAGATACAATAATCTTCTTCAGAAACATACTCCGTAACAAATGTCTGTTTTAATTATCATAAATATAAACACAGTAATTAGAACACGGTAGAAGAATTGAACCCGGATTTGGTACAGAGTGAAGACAATATATACATATACAGTATAATAAGTCTCTAATGTCAAAACATCATATTCATTTGTTAACTTCTGTCTTGTGAAAAACCTTAAACACTACTCTCATCAACTTTGTTTGTGTGATGCCCTAAGTGATTTCACTAAAGCAATAATACTAATACAGTGATACTAACCCGTTAAAACTCGATGCCAGTTTTTACATGAATGTACACAATCCAGCAGAGGCTACTTGCGAGAAGAGATAGCATGGTGACTGCCAGATGGCACGAACCCATTGCTCGCAGAATCATCATCAGTTTTCGCTCTCCGATAGAACAGAACATAAGCAGCAGAAGACTTGACGTCTTCTTCATTAATTGGAGATATGTGGCTGTCATCAAAATTGTACCACCTATTTTCGTCAAGCAGCTGTAAATCGTTGAAAGGTTAAAAAAACAGTCAAATTTCTTGAACATCTGAGCTTGTTCGTGTGGCAAAAGATAGCACACCACTTTGGATCCAGTGGAGAAACACTTCGGGCCCAACACACCTAGGACCCAAGGCCAACATAGGCAGTGGCAGATCCAGGATTGTGAATGACTGGGGGCAGTATAGCAAAGCGAGGGTTCGGGGGCAGAGCCCCCGATTTTTTTAAAAATGTACTTTATATCATGATGAAAAAATTAATTTTATATCAAACAAATTTAAAATAAGAAAAACAAAATATTTTAAAATTAGTAAAATTATACTCCCTCCCTCCCAATTTATAGCGCTTATTTCGGTTTACAATTTTTGACTAAAATTATTTTCAAATCATTTTATATGACAAATGGTATAGAGTTAAAAAATAAAAATTACATATCAAAATACTACATCAAAAGATCTAGTGAAAATAGAGAAAGAAAGTGAATGAAGTTTGACCTTGTGAATAGTGAACATGCACTATATATTGGGACGGAGGAAGTAATATTAAATGAATTATGTTGTACGAAATTATTTAATATCACTAGACTTTACAAATACTTTATTTAATGGGTTAATTAGAGGTCATCGGGGGCATTCTTTGTTTTTTGTTGGGGGCAGCCATACATAAAACAAAAAAAAGTAAAAAAAAAAAAACTTCTTTTTTTGACTGGGGGCAGTTGCCCCCATATGCTCCAAGGTAGATCCGCCCATGAACATAGGACCATTCATCGAGTTAACTCCAACAAGAAGTTAATCCATGGATCCAGACCAAGGTAACACTTGTGTTTTAGTTTGAATATGCAATGTAATACCCTATCTCAAAACGATCTCCCCATGTGAAATTGACAAGGATCATAAGAGTAGGTTAAAATTGAATTATAGTGAGTTTATTGTCAAAAAATGGGCTGAAATGGGTTTCTTCATCAAGGAAATGATAATTTAATTAGATGTGGAGGACTTATATTGGGCATTTGGGCGGTTCACGGTTGGGGTGTGAAAATGATATTTCACTAGTGCAAATCTTTTAAATAGAAGTAATGGGAAAGTGATTTGGGAACAGCGGATAATGGTAAAGAGAAGATGATTTTGGGACAGAGGATAAAACATCATGTATTTGTAAAACAATATAAGACTAAGAGCATGCGGTAGTGGTAAGGGATATAGTTTTTTATTACCTTGATATGTGCGGTGTAGTGCCCACTTCCCATGCTGCCGTAATGATTGGTTAGGGCATAGAGTTCGTAGAGCTGACGTTGGGAGTTGTTTTTGTTTGCTACATACTTTGTGACATCGAAATCATGGATGGGGAAATTGATAAAGGTTTCTAGCTTATGCTTCATTGACCTGCTGAATGAGAACCTTTTAAGATGAATGACGAGCACTTCTGGTAGCCTCCATAGGTCAAGCTTCTTGCTTGCTTGCCGTCTCTCCTTGCATTGAGGACAATACCTTTCAATAGATATTACATTATATGTATTTTGTCAAGTGGTGATTAAAAAAACAGCCACTACTATGGGCATTATTTGTTTTTTTTTAACGGAAGAAGAAAAAGAAGAACTAACCACATATCTTCAGGAACCAAAGGCTCTTCTCGAAGAAAAGCTTCCAAGCAACTATACAACGAAAGAGGTTCGATACGAGCTTTCTTTGCGACTGAGGGACCAGATTTAGTCACTTCTGGCAAGTTCTCGAGGTAGTGGGTGTCATAGGTTTCCAACAGCTGTTGTGGCCAATCAATGAATACAAGTATTGCCTTTGATGAAGATGAGATCTTAATAGCCTTATCTTCCCCAACAGTTAGGTCAATGCATGCGTTGTTTTCACCAACCAGTTGCAAAGGTAGTTTCTCGCTCACCACATCAGCCACCACAGTGGAATCATCTTTACAGGTTTCACTGGCACTTGAAGCGCCATCTGTTGGTGTCTTTGCATTGAAGAACTTGTAGGGATTTCCCCGTCTTAACATGGGAGAGAGCATTTTGTGAACTATTAACTGTATATCACCTCTAGTAATGACATCATCACATGGGATTGGAGAAACCATAGGTGTTCCATAAGGCTTCCACCCCATGCTGCTCCGAGGCTCGCCAACTTCACTGGTAAAAGATACAATACTAAATTAGGTATTGTTGATGAAAGAGAAGAGGGAGAGAAAATCTAATGACGCCTAATATAGCAACTAAATGTTCTTTTGGAAATTTAAACTAATGCTTCATCCACCCCAAAAAATCATATTTCAGCATCTTTCTTGTCACACAACAAAGAGTTTGATTTTAAAAGACAACTTTCACTTTTTAGGTAGCATTCCTATAAAGCAGCAATCAGTTCCGTCGGATACTCCAAATAATTTTGGAAATAAGTTTTAGGGGTATTAGTGACCATTCATAACTTGTAAGATCTTGTAACTTACTCAAGCATGACTATGTTTTAATTTTTGGGGAAAAGGCAACTAATAGAAAACAAAATAAATAAGGAATCTGGAGTAAGATTCTTTCATGATATTCAAAACAGAAAGGAAACAAATGTGTAAATTCTCTACCACTACTCAAGAGGAAATCCATGTAATATGAAATTAACAAAATAAGCCTACCACTCTTCGCGCCGATGGATCAATTGGAGAAATTTTGAGCTTTTCACCGATGTAGGGATCTTATAGGCAGCAAGGTGATCGTCATCTTTTATGGAAGTTAGAGCTAAAAGTGGTTCTTCCAAGAACCGATGAATCAGGTGGCCTCGTATCTAGAAGCAAGCAACAGATGGAATAGAAAAATAAAAAACTATGTAGACACAGATAATATGCACATTCTATGAAAATGTTTAATGAAAACACTAACCTCTGCAAGTAAGAACCTCTCACTAGGCTTTAAAGAACAAGCATTGGACAGTGACAGGAGTAAGTCCCTGCAGCGTCCCTGCTTTGGTACCGTGACAGTGCAAGCTGATGGTAGTTCACTTCCATCACAAGTGAATATTGTCACAGTCATACTTCGGGTGGTGGCCGGTTGCAATGGGAGGGAAAGGTACATGAAGGGATCAAATGTAACTGAGACTTTATTACATACAGGACAGACTAGAGTTGACTTGTACTGGCCCTGCATTTGGGGGGGAGGGGGGGGGGGCTACAGCTGAGTTAAAGTCGCCGAGACAAAATATGCTATTTCTGAAAATTAACAGTGCACATAATTACTTAAAGACAAGGATTCAATAAAGCCCCGGAGTAATTAACGCTATATTATTAAAAATACTCCCTCCTTCCCAATGTGTTAGTCA